ACTGCAGTCAACATGTCGTCGCCCATCATGAGTCCATTGAGTCCATTGAGTCCATTGAGCCCAACAGGCTCCAAGGCAAACATCTTCCGGAATAGGGTTCCAACTCAGTTGCGGCGATGCATTCCCTTGTACATCGCTTGCGTTTGCCTTATCCTCCTGATTCTCAACGTCGACATGATCGGTTCAGTGCCCAAGCCGGTTCACCTGTCGAAGCGCAGCGGCACAAGGTCAACACGAGGCTTCCCCAAGAAGATTTGGCAAAGTTGGAAAGTTGCGCCGTTCTCCTTCGAGGGCGAGCAGATTCTTACAGCCAGAACATGGACGGACAAGAACCCCGGCTTCCGTTATGAAGTCCTCACCGACACTAACGACATGGAGTATGTTGAGGAGCACTACGGCCCTGAAGGCCTCGATCGCCCAGACATTGTCGACATGTACCGTCATGTCAACGCAACTATCATCAAGGCGGACTTACTGCGGTACATGATCATGTACGCGGAGGGCGGCGTCTACGCCGACATTGACGTCGAGGATCTCCGTCCTGTTAGCAGATGGATTCCGGAGAGATACAAGGAGGAGGATCTTGACCTAGTCATCGGTGTTGAGATTGATCAACCTCATTTCAAGGACCACCCAATTCTCGGCAAGAAGTCGATGTCGTTCTGCCAATGGACTTTCATGTCTCGCCCTCGTCATCCAGTCATGCTGAAGCTGGTTGAGAACATCATGGCATGGCTCACCGACGTCGCCAAGACCCAAGGAGTCTCTATCTCCGAGATCCAACTCGACTTTGACGAGGTCATCAGTGGTACCGGCCCTTCTGCTTTCACCAAAGCAGTTTTGGAAGTCATGTCTTCGAGATCTCGCCAAGGACCCATTACATGGGACATCTTTCACGACATCGACGAGTCCAAGGTGGTCAGCGGCATCTTGGTCCGCGACGTTGAGTCCTTTGCTGCTGGCCAGGGCCACTCCGACTCTGGCAACCACAACTCCAGAGGTGCGCTTGTCAAGCATCATTACCACGCATCGAACTGGCCCAGCCGCCACCCACGCTTCAGGCATCCAATCTTCGGCGAGGTCGAACGCTGCAACTGGAACATCGAGTGCGTCATGAAGTGGGATCAAGACATTGCCGCCTTCAACGCTCTCTCTCCTGATGAACAAAAGCAGAAGGTCGAGGAGCACGAGAACCTACAGAAGTTCCAGCAGAAGCAGAGCGAGCAAAAGCCGATCGAACAGCCGCTACAGTTCCCTCCGCAACAAGCTCTTCAGCCCCCCGCGAACCAAGAGGAACTAAAGTTGAAGTGAAGTAGCGGTCACGGTTTTCTCGACTCAAAGGTTTCGATTGATACGTCCGACATAGACAACGCCACAAAACATTTGCCACGCCAAGATGCGTAATTCAGCATCACAACTTGGTTGCGGCAGACACGAAGCGCAATGATTGCAGAGCAGTTTTTTATTTACACAATTGACGGCGCTCGCCCCCGGCGGATGCCTTGAGTGACGCTGGCATAGTCCGATTGTAGTTGCTTTGCAGCCCTGGGGGCTCTTCGGAGTGAGCAAATGGTCTCCTTCTGCTTGATAGGAAACATGAACACTAGCATGGATAGACAGATATACAGCTGAGGATGATACACAAGGAAGCACGCGCGAAGATACCCTTCGAACCCCTGTACATACCTTTGGCAGAAAATCTTGGCACTTGTCGCGATGCCGTGAAGCATCGCTGGAATAATGACGATGTCATAAAATCAAATACCAATGAATGCTGCAATGGATTGTCACAAAAGTCTTGCCATGGAATCACTTGGTGACGAAGTGATGGAGGCCTATGTGGCTCAGAACTGAAATGGTGTGTCAGTTGAGCGGCCCGTGTAGGGTTGGAAAGGCGTGTTGTGTAAAAGATTTGAATAATAAGTTGAAAAAATATGTACAAGTAAGCTATATACGAAGTTTATGCGCAGAGTTCACATAGCCACGAATATTTCATGACATATCCCCTATATACAGTCTCCCTCTTGCCACTTTTGACACAGTCTTGGTTAAGTATGGAGTTATCATCTCCCTTTAGAAAGTCAACTTCTGGCCGGCCTGTCCCGGCACAGTGGCAACAACGTTGGCAGAGCCGAGAAGGCTGTAAGAGTATCCGGGCGAGTTGGCGTTCATAGTACCGACGGGGGCAGTGTTGGCAGCACCGCCAAGATCATTGTCGATGGCAACAGCGTAACCGACAATGTCGGAGTCTTGGGTGGTGATGGGAACCGAGACGTTCTTGAAGACGTTACTCTGAATGAGGACCTGCGCGCCTTGGCGGGTGTTGATGGCAGAGTTTCCGCTGCTTGCTGTCAGTACTGATCCTGAGATACGCCGGGGAGGAGCGGAGGCATACTTGAGATAGTAGGAGTTGTAGATGTGGCCAGTGCCGAAACGCAGAGACGGGCCACGGGAGCCGAAGTTGGCCCAGTAGTTGTGGGCGTAGGTGATGCGGAGATGACCCTTGTCCTCGTCTCCGTTGTTCTCGCTGTGGCCAATCAGAGAAGTCTTCCAGTGGTCGTGGAAGTAAGTGCTTGAGAACGTTAGTCTACTGCATCTCTTTGGATGAATGCCAACTTACTAGGAGATAGTCATGTAGTCAGCGGCGTGGGAAGCATCCACGAGGCCGTCATAGTAGTCCTTGTCGGAGACCAGAGCACTGGAGAACTCGCAGTGATCAACCCAGACGTTTGTGCTTTGCTAAGTGTTGACCAGGAATTAGTCCGTGTGTTACCACTAACACAGGCTCAATTGGCTCACCTCAATCTTGAGACCGTCGCCAGTCGAGGCAAGGACGTTGGTTGACTTGATGTTGCGCACAATGATGTTACTCTGACGACGAGCGTGCAGCCCGATGCCATCAAAACCTGAACTTGTCAACAACTATGTTTACCGATAGGTATTGGCATGATTTACCAGCTCCAGGGAGGCCAATGACAGACTTATTGCTACCAATGCGGACGTTGGCGGTCCCCTTGATGACGCCCTTGACAACGACAATCTTGGCAGCCGTGTCTTTCTCGTTCACAGCGGCGGTGAACTCGGCGAGAGATGATACAGTGGTGACGGTTCCTCCAGCACCACCGGAAGTCCTTCGTAGCTATTAGCAGTGCCAAGTTGATTTGCATTCCTGTTGATACTCACCCTCCATTAAGGGTGGCATAGCCTAGAGTCGCCTTGTCGGAGATTGATGCTCGCTTGACAAGGTGGGGCTTGTCGGCGACATTGTCGACAGTGGGAGTCGGCGTCGCGACTGCGACGCTGGCGAATAGCGTCACCAAGGCAGAAGTGAACTTCATGGTTGCTTTAGTGTCAAGGATGGATTGAAGACGAGGTCGAGGTTGCCAAGGAGTCTAGAACCAATTTGTAGAGCTTAATATTCTGAAGACGTGAAATATGTTTCATGCTACCAGCCGTCCCTTTATATACACGATCTTCGCAGTTCACGATCGGGCCCTTTTCCGTCTACATAACAGGGGCCTTCTGATCACGGCATTGCATTACAGACTCTGGTGATTGCGACACGGCTTCGTTGACTGGCTGGAAGTATTTCCGCTCTCTGGGAAATGGTGAGGCTCGTGGATTTAGAGGGTAGCATTGCAAGACGGAAGCGATGAACCTAATCATTCCGCGAATGGTAGCACGCGTGCTCATCAAATCTCGAAAACCCCCTCAAAATGTTTCCTCCACTTGCCTGATAGCTTCGGTCGAAGGAACCCCTGCTCCGTGGACGATAAGCTGCTAGAACGGGAGGGTTGGCTCAGTCTAACGCCATCTTGCCGAGCGGGTTGACCAACTACCTAAAAAGAAGCTTGTCAACAAGCTTTTGTTTTGTTACCACCTTGTTTATTCAGTGGGGAGATGACTGTGTCATGTTAAGAGATCTCAATGGAGAGATGGGGTGGTCCGGGGTTGACGTTGGAGAAATTTCCTCAAATCAGCATTTCGCCGCGACTGGGGGGTGCAGGTACCGGCACTATCCGGGGTACAAGGTGTCTATACCACAATGAGAAACTCATAGCTCAATAAGCAGCTTTCATTGGGTAGAATTGGGATTTCACTGTCGAGCTGACGACGGGAAATGACCTATTCTCTTGGGCTACGGTCTCTATGGACGGGATACCGACGGACAAGTTTTTCCCGCCGTGGGGAAAAGTGACAAGATGGCCAAGGCAAGAACCTCGTTGTACCTTCTGAGGTTCAAGTGGCAAACGGCATTGGGAGTATATCGAAGCATCTGTCACAAATGCCAGTCTCAACGACTGTCAATGCCACGTCGTCGTGGGCTCGGATAGCTCAGTCCGTAGAACTTGACTAGCAATAACTGTAAGATAAGCGGGCGATCTGTATGTGGTTCTTGAGGAGTGTAGCCGATTGGGCGATGAATTTCATGGAAAGGCACTTCCAATTACTCATTTCTGAAGAAAGCAAGATCAGGGACTGAGCGGACGCAATCAGGCCTGTGACAAATGGGTTTGTTGTAGAAGTCCACAATTGTTGATTCTTTCCACCGATACGGTACATTTCTTCCCAACAGCCATTCGCGTTTTTCCTTTTTGCTTCGTCTCCATCGCACTCAATGGCCTCGTGACGTTGAGAATAAGCTCATGTCGACCTAGTTATCTCGGCTCTCACTGCCGATGGGCCTGCGGTACAACCTTGGCGCTTTCTTGGCAAGACTCAATGCTTGTAGACTATCAAGCTAAAGAATTAGACGTTCTCGGATAAGCTTCAGGAAAGAGGGAAAAATGACAGGCACAGTAGAACTAACCAAGGGGGGCTTTCGAATGAGTGGCATAAATTGCGTGTACCTGACTAGACTCGCATCTGCGTCCCTGGTTCGTGGATTCGTCTTTTCCGATGGTCCTCTTGATCCCACAACAGCTCTATGAAGCAACCTTAAAGGCATGCATAACCAATGTAATCTCCCACTTCGGATGAAGGTTGTGCTTCCTTCGAGCCTACTTCAAGTCGGGGGCATTGTACCGGAAGGTAGTCCGACTCCACAGCTCGTTACCACACATCTGCAACTCGATTCCCTCCAGGTACTCCTTCAAAGAATCAGAACATCCCTCTTCCAGCCTCTTGGCAACAAGATCCGCATGGTTTCGTTCCCATTCACGACACATGGTCCACAAAACTCGTTTCGACCCATCGTAGTCCAAGCCGGTTTCGTTGGCTAAAACCTGCACGATGTTGGACACGATGGATCCTTCGGCGTTGATATCTTTGGACGCACGGTACTCCTTGTCCCAACTCAAAATGTCGTTGATGACAGAGATGTGATGCGTGTAGTTTAGCTCGATTTCAGATACGGAGACTAGTTCCTCCTTCGTGACGGTGATGCCCTGTGAGAAACGCTGCAGAGCCAGAAGGAGCCTTAAGGGATTATTAGCCGTGCATTTACCATCGCAAGGTACCACATAATAAGACTCACTGCGAAGCAACGTCAAGCTCTCGGTACTCTAGGTACTCTGCGATGCTCTTCTTCGCTAGCCGAGCTTCGGCATTCTGGGAGCGCCAAAACTCAAAGGTGGGCGCTTCAACATCATCTGAGAGGGTCTTGTCAATGGCCCTCATCTGTTGCCAAATTTCGAGAACTATCTTCTCGATAGGAAAGTCCTCTGCAGGCAAGATTTCTCCTTTGACGATGGAAATGAGTCGCTCGTTATATGATGAGCCGTCTTGCAGCGACATATGCTCGAGCAGGTCTAGAGGGTATTATCAGAATGGTGGTTCAATATTTGGAATAGTTCCCTCTCGAGCGTTACACAGGCTTACCGTCAACCAGAAATAGCATCACCGTAAATCGAGACGCGACAACCACACGGTCATTCAGAGAGGTAGGATACTGGCAGCAGTGCCATGTCGGCAAGCCTTCAGCCACAAACTTGAGCCGGGAACGCTCGTCGGGAAAAGGCCAATTTTGAAGGAAGTGGTTGTTGACAAGCATCGTCACGCTGAGTTCATGAGGGTGGGGACGTCCGACCATATGCGACCGAGGCGGCCGGTTAGTCTGATCATTCGCACATGCCTCAAGAATGAGCATTTCGTGAAGTAATGTCTTTTACAAGACCGTTTGAGAAGGAACGGAGAGAAGGTTGTTTTGTTCAGACCTAATTTGGGCAAGAGCGATCTCTAAATTTGGGAGCGCAGGCTTTATATCTTGGATTAGCTGTGTTCGTCGAGGGTCGCATGCAGGAACATGAATTCTGCAAGGCTCGTCGAGCTTTCTCAACAGTCTCGGTGTCCACAAGCAGACGAATAGCGCGTTATCTTCAAGCTCGGACGCCATTATTCATCCGGTTACCCGGAATTCTATGGCAACGTTGCTGGTAAGTGCTATGAGTTCGCGTTCTTCATGTCGACACCCGTTGATGGGCCCGGTTACTAGGTGCGAAAGCCAATGGCTAGCCCCAATCAGTTCCATAACGGGCCTCTTGATATGGGCGGCGTCGCCATTGATGCTCAATTCCAATTCTTGAAGGCTTTGGGAACAATGAATAAACGAGTGCGCATGATGTTTGCTTCTCAACTGCTGGGTATGACGGGGTTTGGCGGCTTGCGCAAACAAGTTGGCTACTACCGGCAATGCTGGCTGTTGAATTGGCAGCGATGGACCAAGACTTTTGGCGAGGTGCGCCTGATTTGATCGTCGATCGCGTCAACATTGCCGTCTTTCATGTGTGATACCCCGGCGAGCGGATAAAAGACCAGCTCGCATGACATGGATGTGTAGTGTTGGAAGTCTAGCAAACACGACCCACTCCAGCTTTCATGCGTTTGCGGTGAAGGGGCAACAGCCCTGCAATGAACTGGGATCATCATGCGTCTACTACCATCCATCACCGAGAAGTCTTCTCCAGTCAACGAAATATTTTCATATGCCACTGCCTTGACTGCTTGTATCTACCTATCGCCCCAATCGTCGCTGTCAAGCCCGTCTACCCGCTCACGTCAACACACAACCGGAATCTTGGGTGCGTATATGTCCCATCCCAGTTTCTCCTCCATTTGAGCCGATGCGACGGAGCCTGGCCATAGCCTGCGTCCAGCATCGCTTGCTCGCTGAAGATACCATAGACTTTGACCGATGTTGCCAAGCCTCAGTTCAATATCGGCCAAATCCTCCATGGCCTGAACAGCGCGCTCATCGTCCATGGCTGAACCCGCCGGAGACTGCAAAGAGTCCACTATTGACTTGCAGACTTCTCTGGCCTCGTCGTATTGATATGAGCTGATTAGAACGTGCGAAAGGCTTCGGGCGCACGATCGCGACAGATATGAATCCATCCGCGATGTACATGCATGATTGTAGAGTGCCCTAGCCCGCCGCTCTGCCTCAGTCAGGTTACCAAGTCGTCTAGCTGTGCTGACCAGCATTCTTTGAAGACGGCATGCTGTCTGGTGTTCGTATCCCAAGCGTGAACCGAATATGTTCCACGCCTCGAGCAGGGCGATCTCGCATAGTTGGATATCATGACTGTTTTGTAATAGTAAGCCGCATATCTTTGTAACCGGGTGGGTAGGATGTAATTTCGTGGCTGTTAGAGCCCTCAGGTATCTCAATGAGGCTTGGCGAAGTTCTGGGCATGCTGTCGTGTTGGCAGGAGACAGCACAGCGAACACTTCCCAGACAAAGTCGAATGAGTCGTATGAGATCCCGTTGAGCACCATCTCGTCTGCGCTCTCCCATAACTTAATGCCGCAAACGCTTGTGGATTGCGACTTGATGATGTAGATGGCATGCTTGATGTCTTCCCAATAGCGTCTAGGATGTCCGGGTATGTTGGCTGTCCAATGCTCAAATACGTCAAGCGCCGAACTGCTCTTCAGCTGCTCACTGCAACACTGCCGAACGCTCTGAATGATTGCGCTCGAAGCTTGACTCTGAAGATTGATGGTTGTTGGAATTTGAAGCTGCATGCTGGAGCTCGGCGGGGTTTTATCCGAAAAAGCAGTCGTGGCTTGAGCGGTTTCTCGGGGTTGCTCCGTTGAACTAAATGACGCCATGTTTTCTCGAAATATGGCTTCGCACTCCTTCATTTCAGTTTTGTGGCATCTCATAACTTTCGACCAATCCCCCGCACTGATCTCGCCAACGCTTGCCGAGCTCTTTTGAATCGATTTGATGACTTTCATTTTGTCGACCTTTTTCATATTCTTTACGACGCCCCACTTCCACAAACGAGTTTCGTACATCCGTTTCCTGCAAGGGGCCTTATTATCAGCTAGGGCCGTTGCATAGATGGATTCCTTTTTGGGTGCAAGATGGCACATACGTGGCTTTGAAGTAGTGCCTAGCTTCCATCTCTGCAATCAAAACTTTCATCTGGCTATTCTTATAGATATTAATTATGGTCTGTTTGTGACGTTCCCAGTCGTTCGAAGTTGGCCAGGAATTGCGCTCAATAACGCCATCCGGTCTGGTTTTACCAACAGGTTGCATGGTGATCAAGGCAGGAAGCGGTTTCGCGACGCCACTAGCTGGATGTTGCGTATCGAATGACGGTAGCTTTCGACTAGTCAATAAGTAACATACCTCTATGGAGAGGTGTGTAGTGGCTGAAAGGCGAGGATAGATGCGCTGGGAAGCAGTTATCTTTACAAGGCAGGGTGATGGATGGGGTCAGCCACCTTGGCGCCACACGTCTCTGTGAATAAGTCTGCCTGGAGGTTTGATGCCAAGATACGTCATCACTTGGAAACTAGTATAGCAACCACTCAGCCTCTGATTTGAACCCCCTAGCTGCTTCGCTGTGAATGCCCTGCCACCGAGCATCCATGTCTGCGGCGTCTCAAACGCCACAGCGACTCAACTGTCAACAGGGTAGAAGGTGGCGCAGGAGCAGATCCGTCTACTCTTACAGCTTTCCAAGACAGCTTTTGATCCACGGATCTGAATCTCTCGTGGGTCTAGAACCACGTCCATTCCAATGTCGCGAAGCTCTCGGTCCCGAGTCGAGGCGAAGGATCCCGAGCGTTGGGGGCGATGCCAACGAATCATTTGCCTTAGCTTTACGGTGCGATCCTCCCTGCATAGATTGGCCCCCACGCATCCCTGGGCGTAGTAGGGCTGCCAATCGTTTTTGACTCGAAAACATTATATGCATTGTGCTTTTGCTCATGGTGGGTGGGGTTACGATACCATTGGTGAGGTTTGGGTGCTGACCTGGAGATTTCCAGGCAGAAACTGTGTGCTGCAATTATCCGCCCTACATCCCTCCGTCATATTGCATTCCTTTGTATATCAGAAACAACTTGAGGAGCGAATATTGCTTCAAGACACCTCACGCTGGAGATAGTCACATAGATGAAGTATACCTTTGATGGGCTGGATATCTCTGGGCGCGCAAATGTCTATTTCCATTTCGAACACCATAGCCTCCCTCCACGAGAGTAATTCGATGATTTTGCCCTGGAGGCAAGAAGCAACTTCGAAGATATAAGAAGTCTGCATCACATACATATTGTGCAAGACGCATCTGGCTCACCTGCCAACTGACTTATTTCACCATACAATTAGACATCGGAACCTTTCGGCTGATCTAGCGTGTTTGTTCATTTTTACTCGCATCACCATCTTCACCCCAGGACATTCATAATTTCCAAGCCTCAATGGCGAGCAATGAAACGCTGGTCCAAGAGCCAGATCGGAATGAGCAAAACGTTCAGTCTCAGTCCGCTGAAAACGAGGAGAAGACCGCGAATCCTCAACCATCCCGTGTCGCCAGCGAGAGCAGTCCTAGCATTTCCACCGTCGTCAATGACGAGAATTCGAATTCGCAAAGGACTGTCCAGAATGACCCGGCCGGGAGAGGTACACCTCTCGTCACCCGATCACACGCGAGAATGTCAGTTCAGGTGACGGATCGATACGCAGAGAATGCCGCAGCAGCCCCTGACTGGATGAGGAAGACGCTGGTACGCCATGATATGACGACGCGCTCCGTCGTACAATGGGCCATGGCACCACTGGATAATCCCCAAAGAACTATCTTGGCTCCAATCTTAGCCGCCCTGAGGGGCATAATGACTGCAATTCCTCTGCTATTTTTTAACTTCGTCCCTAACTCGCTGTGTTGGGCAGCGTGGGACCCAAAAGACATTTACGACCCCTACCTCGAGTTCAATGGAAAGTATAACGTCAATGACCCCGACGGTGGGAGAAGGCATTCCGTGCCTTCAGGGGACGATGGCTTGTCACATCTCGATGTGCTAGCACGTCGGACGTATCCATCGAAGCTCCTGCTCAAAGAAGAAGACGGAACGTGGACCCCAACGGACATGAACACGGCTAACAAACGACCAAAGTACTTGTTCGTCAGCCATGTTGGGTCGAAGACAAAACAAGACGAGCTTCAGTACCTTGATACCGCCCAACGACTCGCAGAGAAAGAAGGACTTACGGCAATCTACCTGGACGATTGGTGTTTCACCCGGCACATCAAGCAAAAAGTGAAGAGTGGTGCCCTCTCTGAGAATGAGGGAATCGCAATTACCGACCACCAAATATGGACTCTATGCGACGTCGTCCGTGGCTCAGCTCAAGTGGCCGTTATCTACCCAGGCGATTCTTCCTCCTCGGAGTCCAAGACGGAGTGGGGCAAGCGGATGTGGACGTTTGTTGAGGGACTCTTAGCTCCCGGTAACTCGATTCTTTTCTCTCCACGAGACTATGACAGGGAGAAGCTTCCAGACGGGCCACCGGTGGAATCTCTATACAAGGTAGAGATGACAGCAAGCTACTGGAGCGAAAGCGATACACGAGCATCTCATGAGGGCGGCAGCTCGGCACGGTTGCTGGCTGAATACTTTTCTGGCCAAGTCGTGCTCAGCACTCTTGAGGTTCTCCCACTCATCTTCGACGCCCTCAACTCCCGCAACACCGGGAACCAGAACTCGCTTTCGGACATGGGATACGCGGCAATGGGTCTTCTCCGTTTTCGCGTCGGGAGGAAGCCGGGCAGCACGGATAGTCCCACGCTTTTTCAGACTCTGTCCCACCTTTCTCTCAAGAACGACAGCGACAAGATCATCGACCGTATGATAAGCTTGCTTCCACTACCGAGGCTTCCAGGATCCGTTCCATCAGATGCGTCCAATCACATCATTTGGGCCAGTCTTTGCGGACAGGATGCCTTTGGCGCACGCGTCCACCAAATCACGCCCCTGTGCGACGTCGTGGGCGTGGCGGACGAGGACCACACGGTCTTCATTGACAACTGCCGAGCCATCAAGATACAATGGGACTCTCTCCCCGCCTTGCGCGTCGAAAACCACCCATCGGCCGTGACCGGACTCGTCACTCTTCTGCGGAAAGCTGCCATGAGCTCCATGTTGATCGTCATTGGCATGAGCATTACCATGGCCGCTATTGCCGGCGTAAACTCTGGCAGTTCTAGCAGCTCTCGCAGCTCCAGCAGCACAGGCTCCCTATCAGACGACTTTCGTCCTTCAGACTTTGCAATCCGCATGTTGAGCAAAATAGTGGCAGTCGCTGCTTGCATTGGATGCGCTTGCACGTTAATGATACCCGCGGCCGCACGAAGCATGTTCAGCACTTTCAAAGTCCGGAAATGCAGCCCTGGTCTGGTTGGGATCGAGGGTGTCATGCCCATCAAAGAATTGGAAGAGAAGATCCTTGGATACAAGTCTTCTACCGATGTATTCAACTACGACCCGCTCGCGTCGCATATTCTCGCAGATGAGGACGGCGTGGACAGCGAGACCAGAACCTTGGAAAAGGGCAGACCGGCATGGATCGAGAACGCAGAAGACCTAGGAGTGAAAGCCCGGCTCAAAAGAGGGCAGAGACTCTTCACACTTGTTGATCTGGGTCATCTGTCCGTCATGGTGGTAGCAGCAGAGCGGCCGCCTTCCGTTGCGCTTCTATCTGGTCGAGGGGGCGGGATGCTCAGAGCGGTTCTCTGCAGTTCCAGCCCTGCCAAAGACTGTCTCTACAAGGAGACGGTGGTCCAGATGCCGTCCGCAGTGTGGGATTCTGCGAAGCCTACAAAATGGCTCAAAGTCTGCCTGCAGACCCGCAACGAAGCCATGCGGGCCCGCTACCTGGCTTCCGAAGCCACCGTTGCTGCGGATTCGGCCCAAGAAGCGGCCGATCGCTCCAGCGCATGTGCTTGCAGGGCGGTAGCGGACGCCAAGCGGGCTTCTCATAATGCCAATGGCTCCCCAGAGACGAAGTCAGTGAGTAGTTCACGAGAAGCGGCTGACCTGGCAAAGAGCGCTGCAGAAGATGCAGCATCGGCTGCCAAAAAGGCACGTAAAGCTGCCGACGACGCTGATCCTGAGAAAGAGGTGGGACTGGCCAAGCAAGGGCTTGATGCCGCAAGACAGGCGCTCAGCGATGCCAACGACGCATGGCTACAGGCTAGTTATCAGGCGAATAAAGCTAGATTTGCCGCTGACATTGCGATATACAAATGAAGGATGGGCAGGAGTAGCTCCTGATCTCAATTTGATAGGATCGGACAGGCAAGCTGAGCACACGTATATGGACCGCAGTTGGCTGAGGGACATGGATACAATGCGTACATCAACGGTCATTCAACATGATCTACATAGCAATATACCTTCTCAAGTTCATTCTCTCTATCTCTACGCCTTCTGGCTATCGCAAGGAATATCCGACGGCACGCCCGTTGGGTTGACAAAGTAATCGTGGTACCAGTACACCTGCTGCTCAGGCTTCGTCGACAAGTTCGGCGCCGCGTCAACAGACTGGACCGTCTTAAGCACGGTGTACTGCGTCTTGTAGCTGCACCGAAATCGTCAGCCAACCTCTTCTCCCACACAATCCTCCTCTTGGGTGGACTTACTAGATCTGCGAGCAGTTCCCCGCCTTGAAGTTATTCTCAATGCGCCCGTGCGCCTCGTACACCGTCGCGGTGGCGTTATTGTCCGCGATAAAGGTCGTGTTGGGGAAGTGCGTCAGCGACATGCTGCCGTCGGTGGGCAGGAAGCGCTGCTTGCACTTGGTGATGGCGTCGGCGCCGACGCAGTGGATGCTCAGCGTGGTCTGCATGCCGTCTGCCGTGAAGAAGTCCGTGTAGGCTGTGGTGGCGGTGGGGTCCTCTGCCGGGGTGACGAGACTATGTCGTTTTGTTAGAGGGCATTAAACATGTTTGAGGGATTGAGCTTTGCTCACGCGTTGAGGAAGTCCTTGAACTCGGGCTGGACGCCGGGCTGCGGGTCGTAGTCGGTGAAGTCGATCGCCGCGACGAACCGCGCGGCGAGGAGGGCGGGAAGAGCAATGTTCAGATACATTTTTAGAGATTCTGTGATCGGAAACGAGCGTGGCTGAGATTGCGATATTCAACGGTTGTGTTGTGGCTGAACGGCTGCGAAAGGTAGTTGAGCTGAAGCCGGTGGGATCTTTATATCCAAAAACCTCAAAAGCAACAACTAATTAGCCCGCAATCGCCGCGCTTGTAAAGTTTCAGACTAACTTACCACCGAGCCTCAAATACCCAGCATCTACAAAAGGACTCGCACAACTCATCCTCGCCGACTACCGAGAGCGAACATCCCCCACAAACACACTCACCGGCCGACCGCCCCTTTTCTCGGCTGAAAGCGACACCACAACCCCATAACCTAAAAAAGTAAAATAAACAACCGCCCAGACCATGTTTTTACCTCCCTCTCCGTTCGCCGGGCCGCACGAACGCGCCCCAGATATATCCTCGCAAAAACCGCTGTCACGCGCGGCCGGGGGGGCCCTTGTCGGACATGGGACGAAGGTTTACAGGGACCATCTTCCCGAGATCAACCGCCGAGCTCGCCGCGACCCCTATTTCCTCCTTGCTGCCCCGGGCCGTCCGGATGGACGGGGGCGCCGATGGACGGTTCTGAGCAAGATTGATCGATCGGGACGGGTGTGCCCTGCGAAAGGGGTGTGCGTGGCCTCGTAAGGCGGACGATGGCATTTCACAAATCGCGTTTCAGCCCCTGCTGAAGATGTCGTCATTCTCATGAGAAACATAGCTGTCTCACACACCGAAACCTCATCTCCAGGCTCACCACCGCCGCGATGAAGCCCTCAACCCTCCTCCCCCTCCTTCCCCTCGTCGCCGCCATCGACATGGCGCCCTACAAGCCCGCCGCCAACGTCGACGCCGCCTTCGCCCCCTTCGTCGAGGCGTACTACGTCGCCTCCGAGGACAAAGCCGCGACCACGACCTTCACGGACTTCTGGCCCGCCACAGGCCAGCTGATCATCGCGGGGCGCACCTTCTCCGGGTACGCGGCCATGCTGGGCGTCAAGCAGAGCCTGCTGCCGCCGGCGGGGGACAAGTCGTGGTGGCACCTGATCCGCGGGGCGAGCGTGGCGGGCGAGACGGCGGAGAGCAAGACGTTCGTGGCGGAGATTGTAATACAGACGACGTATGTTGGGGGGAACTGTTCACAGGCGTAGTAAGTTTGAGTTTCCACTGCGACGAGGGAGAGGGAGGGGGCTGACGAGGGAATAGTGGCAGCGCGAGTTTTACGATTTTGAAGGATGCGCAGGGGGCGCCGAGGTTGGAGCCGCATTCTGAGAGTCTGAGTGTGTATAACCTCACTGTGTCGACTACGGACTCGCCCACCGATATCCCGTGCAGCTCTTCATCAGGTGTGGCGCATGATCACGATTCATGAAAGGAAGCATTATAGAAATAGATTCATAAGTATTGTATTTCGCTCATGATGGAAGTCGTATCGCACATGACACACATATCGTGTCCTATCTATGAAAGCCGTATCCTGAAAATGCAAGCAGATGTATGTTGTCGCTCTCTAATGCCGTAATGACAGTTTTTCGTCCAGGTGCCGTAACCCAAAAAAAATCCACACTGGAGTCGTATCCGAACCGCACTTATGAAAACGCCGCTGCCAAAAACAATAGTTGGTTTTTGGTTTAGAAACCGCCCGCCGCCCATATGTATAAAAGTGCCGGTCGTTCAATCGTCGCACCAAGGGAAAAAAGTATACACACGTAAGAAAATAGGTATCGTAACTAAAGAGATTTAACATGAAGGGGGAATCGTGCCGAAAGCAAAAACGGGAGCATGCAGGAGTAGTGGTAGAGAAGGAAGAGCAAGGCGGGATTAGCGGCCCTTCTCGACGTCGCGGTTGTTGGGGGTGTCTTCGGGCTGCGTGGAGATGATGATTTCGGGTGCCGCGATGGCTTTGGACTCGTCGCCGGAGACGACGACGTTGTCCTCAGTGGACGAAGACTCGGCATCAACAGTCTTCTTGCGACGGAAGACGGATCCCATGCGGGAGAAGACTCTGGCCAGGACGCGGTAGACAATGACCACCGGGCGTCCGACGGTCTTGGCAATCTTCTCGAACCAGGGATCCGGGAACAGACGGATGAGGACGGCCATGGGGAGCGAGAGGAACGCGATGACGACGGACACGCCCCAGTGCTCGGCACTGATGCCGCCGGGGGTGATGCGGAAAGCCTTGCCGCCGACGTAGATAATCGCGACCTGGGCGCCGACCATGATGCAGTTGATGACGATGAAGAAGTAGTTCCGGTGCACGCCCTCGAAGATGTTGAAGCGGTTGTCGAGGCGTCTGTTGTTGAACTCGTTGAAGATCTGCATCCACACAAAGGTGTTGAAGATCATGGAGTCGAGCTCGAGCTGCTGGTCCTCGTTGGCGGCGTCGTAGCCGAAGATGGCGTTGCCGGCGAAGTGCAGGATCAGGGTGGCGGTGAGCTGGAAGATGGCCTGGCCGATGATCATCTTCCACATGTTGATGGTGATTAGGGGCGCCTTCTTGCCCTGCGGGAGGCGGTCGAGGATCTTTTCAGTAGGAGGGTCCGTGGCGAGGGCGAGGGCGGCGAAGGTGTCCATGATGAGGTTGACCCAGAGGAGCTGGACTGCGGTGAGGACGGACTCCATGTTAGGGGAGGAGACGGCTGTGATGAAGGCGAGGAGGACGGCGGTGATGTTGACCGTGATTTGGAACTAAAGAGACATGTTAGTAAGTCAGGTTAATGAGGAAAGAAAGTTGCATACCTGAAGGAACTTCTGGACGGCGTCGTTCACCGCGCGACCCCACTTGAGGGCCGTGACGATGGAAGTGAAGTTATCGTCCATAAGCACAATAGCCGAGGCCTCCTTAGCAACCTCAGTACCCGAGATACCCATCGAGAAGCCCACGTCCGCAGCCTTCAGCGCTGGCGCATCGTTAGTGCCGTCGCCAGTCACAGCGACGGTTTCGCCCAGAGCCTTGAGGCGGGTTACCAGGATGCGCTTGTCTTCGGGCGAGGAGCGAGCCAGAACCTGCAGACGGGGCAGAGCCTCATCCATAGCCTCGGGAGACAGTGTCCGGAACACAGGGCCTTCCATGATGAGACCACCCTCGGTGAAGATGCCACACTCGGTAGCAATAGCCCTGGCAGTAACGGCATTGTCACCAGTAACCATGCGGACAACGACACCGGCGTGCTTCGCCTTAGTCACGGCCTCGGGAACACCAGGACGGACAGGATCCTGAATACCAACAACGCCGACGAATACAAGGTCGTGAAGGACGTCGCCAAGGTCAACGTGGCCCTCAGAGGTGGCGTTGACACCGTGAGGGGGCCATTGGGGGAAGTCCTGGTAGATCAGAGCGATGGTACGGAGAGACTGCTTGGCGTAAGACTCGATCGTCGCCTCAAGAGACTGTCGGTCAGACTGCTCCAAAGCCGAGATGGAAAGATCGGAAACGTCGAGCTTCTGGCTACAGTATCCCAAGAGAATCTCAGAAGCACCCTTGACAACCAGTCTGTAGCCCTCGTTGCCGGGCAGCTTGATGACGGCGCCCATGCACTTCTTGCTAGAGTCGAATGGCATCATCTGGGCGACCTCCTCGTTGGCGCGGGTCTCAGCCAGAGCCTGCATACCAAGGTGGTCTTTCGCAAACTGAAGCAGGGCGGTCTCGGTCTTTGAGCCGATGAAGGTGGCTTGGCCGTCCTCCTCGCCCTCGAAGGCGGTAGAGTTGATCGCGACGGACTGGACGATGAGCTTCTTGGTGGCGGTAGGGAGAGACTGGGCGAATGCGACTGCGGAGCTAGCCTTCTCTCCTTCGGAAGACTTTGAGAAGCTGGCAGAGCCAAAAGTGCCGGCAACAACCGTCATCTTGTTTGTCGTCAAGGTACCGGTCTTGTCGGAGCAGATCGTGGTCGCATTGCCCATGGTCTCGCAAGCCCGCAGAACACGCACAAGGTTGTTCTCCTTCAGAAGCCGGGTGGTCGCGAATGCCAAGGCAAGGGTGACAGCCAGGGGAAGACCCTCTGGAACAGCCACGACAATAATCGTGATGGCAACAATCAGGATATCCATAAAAGACGATGCCTTCTCGGCCCCGGGACGGCTGTCGTTGGGCAGGCCGGCCAGGAAGCGAATCAGAAGGACGACGAAGAGGAAGAGAGCAGCAGTGCTTCCGAGCTTGGCGATAGCTAGAGCAAGGCCCTCGAGCTTCTTCTGCAAAGGCGTAGACTCGGTTTCGGTGCGAACCGACATCATGATCTTTCCGAAGCTCGAGTTGGTACCGACAGAGGTGCAGACGAAGGTGCCGACACCCTCGAGAACCTTGGCGCCGGAGATGATGAAGGGGTCCAGGTCCTTGGGCGGGTTGCCGGACTGCATCGCGTTGAACACCGCATCGCCGCCAGTCTTCTTGAGCGCGTCAGACTCGCCGGTGGCCGAGGACTCGTCGCACTTCAGTTCGTGTCCGCTGATGAAGATTCCGTCCACCGGGACGAGATCGCCGGGTTCGAGATGGATAACATCGCCGACGAGGACCTCTGCAACGTTGATCATGTAGGACTTGCCGGATCGAATGACCTTGATCTCGCGATCCTCCTTTTTAGCATTAAGCTTGACAAAGGCGCGCTCCTTTTGCCAATCATTAAGAGACCCAACTAGGGTCACGATCAAAATCGCAACGATGATGGCCACGCCCTCAATCCAGTCGACCGGTTGGCCTTCGTCGGGGTCGTGTTCCGCGCCAAACGTTTCGTATAGACCGAGCGCCAATGAAATCGCGGCGGCGACTGTCAGCAAAATAATTACTTTATCATTATAAGCGTTCCACATCAGCTTCCACAGAGGCGTAGCCTTCTTCGGGGGAAGGACGTTTCTGCCGTAGACGCGGATACGGTCGGTGAAACCATTGCCGTCAGCTTGGTGCGTGGTGGTGGGCTGAGCACTGGCAGTGGCGAAGGATGGCTCCTTGTGGCCGGTTGCCTCCTGGAAGCTGACCCTACTACGGGCGGCAGCCTCATCCTG